ACCTGGGTGCACACACATCCCTCCTCCCTCGGCCCCGGCCTCAGGAATGCTGCCGGCATCGCACGCAGCTGCCAGGAAGGGGCTGTGGTCGGTGCGGCTGCCGAGCAAGTTTAGCGGTCACACTGATCCCGACTTTTGTTGTGTCCACTTAACCCCCGCACCAGCTTGTCCCCTCCTGGGGTCTTCCCAAAAACACCACTGCTGTGGAAATGCTCTGCTCCCCTGGCAGCTGTGGAGAGCTAAACTTGCAGCAAAAACCTTGGCACGACCCTGTAGCTTGGTATCACCTGCAGGTGTCTGCAGGCAAAGACAGATCCTGTTCAGAGCTTCCCCCTCCAGGACTTTTGCATCCATCCCCTAACCCTCTTTGGCCACCCCATGGCTGTGGCTGTTTTTTTTATTTTACCAAGTACCCCAAAACCTCATCCCGGTGATAACACCTGGACATGGCACTTCTCACTGCCTGGCAGCTTCACCCAGATCTGATGGTTTCTTGCTGCTTCTGTGTAGTGGGGGCTGTGGCCCACTTCTGCATTTCATTGTAGGATTAAATACTTCCTCCCTTTGGTTTCTGTAGTATTTTCAAGTGTTTTAAATTCTCAAGTATTAACACATGACAAAGCCATTTGTAACTCTCAAAAATAACCTGGCATATAGGCTAATGACACACTCCCATAATGTTTGACTGTCCATGCCAGGTATGGCCATATCACAGAAACATGTAGCCACTGAGCAATCTTCACAATGGCCAAGATGTGGGGGACTTCATCAGGGCAAAAGGGTAGGGCAAAGTAGATGTTAGTAGTTTTTAACTTCAAAACATTGAAGTTTTAAACAAAAGCTCAAGGACTTCACCCTGGGGTTCGGGCAGACACCCAGCACATTCCTGGCAGCTGAAAAAGTAAGATCCAAGGAGAGCTGGAGCCCAGCTCTGCCTGTGGGATCGGGTCAGAGGAATACCCAGGTCCCTTCTGGGGCTCAGGGACCACCCAGGCAAAACAATGTTGCACTGATTAAAACGAGGTTCAATCATCATTCTTTTCTTGGATGGATGATTGTTTAAGTCTCACCTGGTTCATTAATTCTCAGCCATCTGCACTGGGACATAGACATTGCATCCTCCCTCCACCAGCAGAAGCCACAGCTCCAGGGCTTTACAAGGGCAACACTTAGGTTCACAGGATGGTACAACAGCCACAGCCCTCCTGGGTGGGTCAAACGCTGGGATGGTGTGTTAGACACCCTGTCTGAAGAAAAAACAAAAAAGCAAAGCTTAACTAAATCATACATATATATCAGGGGCAGAGAGGGAGAGACTGATTTTGAAGTCAGTCTCTGGCAGCTTTATCTGAAAACTGTGGTGATCTGAATTACACAAAGAGAAGTAATGGGAAATTGATATGCTTTGAAATGTACCAGCAGTTTTCCCTCCTCTTAAATTACCAATTTGCATCTTGCATAGATTGTTTTGTGTACCTTGTTTTTATTCTCTGGTCTCTTTGTTTGCTTTATGCAACAGGCAAGAGAGCAAATTTACCTTATTTCCTGTCTGTTGCCGGGTTGGATTTACACATAGCAACAAGGAGAAGAAACCCTTTTCTTTTTTTTTCTGGTAGTAAAAAACAACTTGCAGTCTCTAAAAATCATGTTGGAGACACTGAAGGAAAGGAAAAGCTCTGCCTCCTTTTCTCTTGCAGTCTAGTCATGTTTTATCAGGGATGACTTCGTATACCTTGCCTGTCCCACCAAGGCACCCCTGGGCAATCTCCCTGCAGTAAAATAGTGTTCTGTTTCCCAGCCACAACAGAAAAAAAATCAGTCTTCAGGGCAGCTCCTGAGACAAGAGGGAGTGGAGAGAGCCGGGAACATGCAAATGTGAGTTTTATTTATTTGTGGCTTAAACCTCTGAGTGCCAAATCACCGGGCAATGTGAGTGCCCTCCCTGCCTTTCCAAACCCAACTTCCTTTTTGCTGGGCAAACGTCAGCAGGGGTGACGACGACGATGATGATGATGATGATGATGATGATGACAATGTGATTAATTAAAATCTTCAACTACACGTGACTCAGAATTTAACAGCTCTGGCCTTTTTTATTCTTTGGTTCAGTCCCCCCCATTCCAATGACTCTTCAAGACAGGTATGTTACATACTCATTCACCTGATGGGGAACAGAGTCAAGGCAGTGGAGGGTTTTGCTGGAATGCAAATTCAGGAATTCAGGAAGAGCATTCAGGGAATTCCCTCATAGTTCTCCATTTCGCCTTTGCTTCTCATAAAAACAGAGATTAAGCAACAGTGTTGACTGTGTCTCTGCCACATCCCTCCTAGTTTGTGATTTTCAGCCCACAGGGGCTGCCTCACCTCCAGATGCAGATGTTTCAGAGCTGTTTAGTGGAATTTGGCAGCTCAGCTGAGTGGAGGAGAAAGACCAAGTCTTCCTTCCACCATGGGGAGGAAGATAGTGAGGCACTCTGAACCACATTACTAGCCACTCAAGCCTCCACCAAAGATAGTGCTATCAGAAATCAGCTTCAAAGCTCTGCCACTCCAGGAACACCTTGCAAAAGACTTATTCTGTGAATGTTGAATCCTCCTTTTGCATTGAGATGAGTCCCCATCATGTGGCCTCATCCCATGGTGTGACTTTGGGATGGAAGGGAGAAGCACTCTGTCTTTGGGCTAGGATGAGACCCTCTTTCCTGGCCCTTAAAGCCCTTGCAAGGCTGCTATGTGAGCCAAAGCTGTCATCTGCTTAGGTCAGATTCATCTTCTTCCCCAGCAGAGAAGACACCTTTGAGCTCTACATATGGTTCTTCCACCAAAATAAAAACTGGGCATCAGCTTTGGGAAATCTTGGCAAACCTTTGCTGTCCTTTAGCCTTGTTTGATCTCAAAGAGAAGGAGTTACCTGTCCTGGCTTAGAAAGCAGGAGAGACATACCCCCAGATGAGTCAGGGGAACACAGGGTGAGACCAGATGCCTCCTGGAGGTGCTGACAGCTGCATAGAGAGCTGAAGGCTTTGTACTATCTAAAATAGAGGTGGATCCAAAAGTCCCAAAACCCAGGGATATCAGGTATGCCTCCCAGCTGAATGGTACCTCATCCTGCCCTGCTGTGCATTACCAAGCCATGGGCAAAAGGCTTCATTCCCCTGGGAGATGGGCCTCTGTCCTGAAACAGGCTAGTTATTGTTTTATGCTGACAACGAATGACTCTGCTGTCCTAGGGGGTTTCCTTTGCCTCCCCTCTACCTGGTGTGTGAGGAAACACAAAGAGACAGATCCCACAGGAAGCAGGTCCTGCAGTCTGTGTGAGGACAGCAGCAACTTCCAAGGAAGAAAGTATGGGCATGGGACAATTTTAAGTCACCTGGCAGATGGTGGGCATCTCATTTTGGGGAATTTTCCTTTGGTTTGTTTTTAAACAATCTGTAGAGTTGTACCTAAGACTCACTGAGCTTTTTACGAAAGGAATGGAGGCAAAAAGGAAACCATTTTCAAATTATCATAGCACTACAAGGTCTCTGTGTCCATGGGAGGAACAGCTGTGTAGGCTGGGAATCTTCTGGAACAAAAAGACACTAAAGGAAAGGTTATAGTACAGCCTGCAAGGTTACAAGAGTGTGGTTGGACAGAAAAGGACCATTTGTCATTTTCTCCATTGTGAGGATGAGGGCATTAAAAAAGCTATGAGGTGGCAGGATCAAAACAAGCCCCAAGGAAATGATTCTGCACCCAAACAGATCATTAGATTGGGCAGCTGTTAGGTACAGGATGTTGCAAATGCTTAAAATTTATCTGCCTTCAAAAATAACCAAGCAAATTATTAGGAGAAAAATTTGAAGGCTATTATGTATAAGTACACTTCTGGCTCAAGGAGTGTGAGTCACAAAAAAAAGGTCAGGCATTGAGGAGATATTCTCGGGAAGTATCACTTGTCCTTACACCAGGGGTGGACTCGCATGAAGAGAAGTGCTGGGGTAGATGTGTCCTTGTGGGCTATTTCTGGATTCCAGAATAGAGAAGCACCTAGCACTGAAACTTCATGCTGGCCATGACAAGTTTGCTATCTACCTGTGTGCATCTGCCCCAAGACCTCACTGCTGTGCTGTGCAAAGCACTTCCTGGAGGTTTGGGGGGGACAGGACACGTGGCCCCCAGCAGGTGGGGACAGAAGATAGTACCTATCAGGACCTGTGCAAGCAGGACCTTGGAGATAAGACAGTGCCTGGGGAATCACTTAGTGCAGTGCCTTGATAGAGCAGCAGCTGCTTGGCTCTCAAGCCAAGAAACCAACCCTGAAGGACATGAGATAAAGTGAAGGCAGAGGGAAACCATGACCTGGCAGTGAGAATTTCCAAATCTCCTTTTTCATTCCTGTGACATAGGAAAATGAGATAAAAAGGGAAAATATTCAAAGCAATACATACCTCAAGCAGGCACAGCTCATCCCAGCTGACCCAGACTCAGCTGCAAGATCAGGCTCTGAAAGTTTGTGCAATATTTTCATGGTCTTGACGGTCAAGATGCCCTGTGAGCTGTATGAGGAATGAACTAACAGGAGCAGAATTCAATGTCATCCCAATGCATAGGAGCACTTTTCAATTTTCTGGGCTGTTTTTACAGCTGTGTCTCTAAAAAGAGGCTAGTTCACTGTACCCAAAACAGCTTCCAAGTCTTTAAGCTTTCCATTACTCCTATATTAGTATTTTCATTGGATGGCTGTACACTGTACCCTGTACACCAAGGACTCTGCAGAGCATTGTCATCCCTCTCTCTGTGTGCAAACTATCTCTGGTGCAGCCAGTCTTAGTGCTGACAGAGACCCTCAGAGTCTTGGGTCTCACTTGGCAACCACCTCCAATGTCAATAAAATATGACTCAAATGGGCCCACTGCCAAACTGATAACCACAAAACACAGGCAGGGACAGGATGCCAAGCAGAGGGACTTGGACAACCTTGGGGAGTGGGGCCTTGGGAATCTCATGAGGTTCAACAAGGCCAAGCACACTTGGGTAGGAGCAACCCCTGGTACCAGCACAGGCTGGGCATGAACAGCCTCAGAGCAGCCCTGCCCAGAAGGGCTTGGGGGTGCTGTGGGTGAGAGGCTGCACATGGCCCAGCCATGGCACTCACAGCCCAGAGAGCCAAACGTGTCCTGGGCTGCATCCAGAGCCCCGTGGGCAGCAGGGCAGGGAGGGGATTCTGCCCCTCTGCTCTGCTCTGCTGAGACCCACCTGGAGCACTGCATCCAGCTCTCAGGTCTGTGCTATAAAAAAAGTACAAACCTGTGTGCTGGTTTAGAGTACAGTGGCTAGGGTAGAGTTAATTTTCTACAGAGCTGGCTTTCTTCACAGTTATGTGGCTGTGTTTTGAGTTTGTGCTGAACACAGTGTTAATAACATAGACATGTTTTTGTTATTGCTGAGTGGTAAGAAAGAGCCAAAGCCTTTTCTGCTTCTCATACCACCACACTGGCAAGAAGACTTGGGGTGCAGAGGAAGCTGGGAGTAGACACAGCCAAGACAGGTGACCAAACTCATCAAACTGATTCCAGACCATATGAAATCATGCTCAGTATCTAAAGTGTTGAGAAGGAGGTAGGGAGACATTTGGAGTGATGGTATTTGTCTTCCCAAGTAACCATTATGTGTGATAGATCCCTGGCTCTCCTGAAGATGGCTGAACACCTGCCTGCCCATGGGAAGCAGTGGATTAATTCCTTGTTTTGCTTTGCTTGCATGTGTGGCTTTTGCTTTTCCTATTAAGCTCTCTTTATCTCAAGCCACACATTTTCTCACTTTTACTGCTTCAATTCTTGGCCCAATCCCATCAGGGAGAGTGGCTGCCTGGGGCTTGGCTGCTGGCTGGGGCTAAACCACTACAGCCTGTCAGAGAGGTGGTGGATGCCCCTTCCCTGGAAACATCAAGACCAGGTTGGACAAGGCCCTGAGCCACCTGCTGTAGTTGAAGATGTCCCTGCTCGCTGCTGGGGCGTGGAACCAGATGCTCTTTACAGGTCCCTCCCAACCCAAGCCATTCTGATTCCATGATTCAATAAGTGAGAATCCTTTTGTTTTCTCCTGCTTTACCAACATTTCGGAAATACCTCCATGGATAGGAACAGCCAGGAGTTTAATGAGCTCCTATTTTCCAAGAGCCCCAGATAAAATATTACTCAAATGGCTTTTATTATTTATTAATCATCAGAATATGAGGAGTAACAGCAGGGCAATTTGATTGTACTCTCTTATCAGAACTTTCGACTGCTTTTGCAGGTTTCTAAACAGCAAGTAGATGTGAAAGAAGCATATATGTATATATATTTAATATGTGAAAGTCAGTATATAGATGACTGTAAACAAAAATGAGATTAGGGTAGTAAAGTCAATGGGACAATATTTTCACATGTATGAAGAAGCCCCACAGAAAAATGCCCTATGGCATTGAAAATTGCTCTGGAAGAAGCAGCTTTATAGTGTTATCGGACAAATAAGCATACTGTGTGCAAACCCTCCCTTCTAATTTCTTTCGCTTGTAAGCATTCAAGTAAATGAAAGTATGTCTCACTCTAGGGAAAAACTCTGCATGTCTGAAGCTGAGCACATGCTCTAATGCTTAGGGAAGGATCTGAGTGTCCTGGCACTGCTCACCAGTGCTGCACTTAAAGAAAAAAAAAACAGATAAATAAATTAAAAATGGATGCTGAGAGAAAAACATGCTTGAGGTGGAGAAAGGCCTTTATCTAATTTTTGTGGCCTTCGTGGAATGTTGGCTGCTTATTTGCAGAGAGAAGAATTCACTCCTCTGAAAGTCCTTACTGATTCCTCTGTTCCCATCTTGCAACCCCTGCTCTGCACATTTTTCTTGAGGAGGGAGAGGCCTCCACCCCATAGGCCTTTTCTGCTTTACCCCACTCTCATACCTAAGGGGCAGCATGAAGAGAGAAATAGCTAAAACTTGCCCTTTTTTTGGTTCTTCTTGACCACTGGTAAGTATGTTCACAGTTTTTTTAACTTCCCCAGGGAAAAAGCAAAGTAAGGGCCTTTGATTATCTTGGAGATAAGGAGATGCAGACCCATAGGACCAGACTACAGCCAGCTCACCCAGCTGAAAGCCTCCCCTGCAGCACCACTTAATGTGTCAAAGACAAGAAGAAAAGCATATTAATTTAAAACACTGTGCAAATGAGGGTCCTGATGCAAAGGCTTAGATCTTAAGCTCCCTCCCTCCTACTCTTCTAGATCCTTGAAATGGAAAAAAACATAGGAAAACCAGACCCTTTTGAGATAAAAACCACAGCTTATTGTTCGGGACAGCATCAGAGCTTTCTCCATCTTTAAAATGGGAATTCTGCAGAATGAATTGTCCCTGATGTACATCAAGACACAAACATGGCTGTTGGCTCTTTTTGCACACTTTCTGCCCTTGAATTGGCAGCTGCAGGTTAGAAGAGGGAAAGAACCCACCGTAGAGGCCAGGCAGAAGGTCTGAGATGTGCTAGATGGGACATGGAAATGGGATGTGCCAAAGCTACTGTAGATTGAGAGTTTCAGGTGAGTGCAGCCAATGGGTTCCCTGCAGGATGGAGAAGCATGAGGTTAATTACTGGAAATCTCACAGCAGGTAAACAAGTCTGGAGGAGATATACCTGGCCCTACAGGCAGCTGTAGATGGGGATTGAGATGTTGGCACAACAAAGCATTGAGGGACAGCACCTGCAGGGCACAGCCATGCTCTACCCTGTCCATGTGCCCCAGGGACCCTTTTGCAGGTCTGAGCCCTCCAGCCTCAGTCACAAAAACAAGGCAGGAATATAACTGTGGTTGCCCCAAGGTCTGCAACAGGGTGCTGATGGAAATGGGGTAACCAGCAAGGGGTGGTTGGAGGGGACAGGAATGCAGAGCAGCTGGTGGAGCCAAGAGGAAGACAATCAACCTCCTGAACAGTCCTTGCAGGCTCCCATCCCTCCCTTCTCCAAGAGGGTGTGTGAGCACTGCTTTCCAACATGGACAATGCTGGAGGGTTTCAGCCTTGTGAACTCAGTGGTTTTCTATTTGTTTTTTTAAGACCCCACAGAAGTTCTTTCAAAATTTCCATGGACAGCAAGCCCCAGGGTGGAGATGACAGCATCTCTCAGCATGCTCAGGATAGGCAGGAAGGCTTTTCCAGACTTGTTCACCTGTCTGGGAAATTTGCATCAATTACCCTCCCAATGATTCAGGCTCCTGCAGGAAAGTTCAGCCTCTTCCTTTCTACATATGAGTGCCCAGAGCAGTTTTCAGGATTGGTGCAAGGGTGTTTCCCTGCCCAGTTCTGCTTCATACTCACCACAAAGCAGTTTCCAGAGCTCACAACCTACTGGTGCATACAGCAGAGTGAGACATTACATGTGGCACACAAGCCCTACAAGCAGTTGTTCAAAAGAGCAACTCTTTGTTAGGGAGTTGGAGGTGGAGATGCTAAGGGAGGATCCCCTGCCCCTAACCCTCTCTGAACCTTTTCACCCAAGAGATTCCTTCTCCTATTCAGCCACCCAAGCCTGCTGGCCGTGCCTTGGGCTTGGTGCTTATGCTGCAGTTTGGTTTTCTTCCTCTGGATCTGTTCATATTTAATATGGGAAGAGTCACAAAAAGGCCAAATTCAGCCTCAGCAAAGCGAGCTCTAATTCAATTCACTTGGCCTTCCCTCATTCCTAATGGAAAGTCTTCTTATGGTCAGTTTTCAAAGCCTCAGGCAAGATCTGAGCCATGCATCTTCATCTACACCTTGCTGGGCCTGCATTTGAGTTACTGGCAGAAGATGAGTGCATTGATCCTGGAGACAAGCCCACAGAGATCACCCAAGGTATGGCAACGAGTGAGAGCATTGTAAGCTCAGCTGACAAGAGCTGATATCATGCCATTCAGGATGGTACATGGTGTTGGTGCCCCTAAGCAGGAATGGTGTGAGACCAGAGGGCTTCCTCCTCCCCCTCACTCACCATCTTCAAAATGCTATCCATCCCCACCATGGCTTCTGCAGAAATACAAGGGTAAAGTACCCTTTACTCTGAGGGTAAAAGCAGGGTCTGGTGAATCCATCAGGTAGCTGCTCTGTGTACTCCAGCTCCTTCACACTGCTGCCAATGCCTGCCTACAGAGATGGCTCATCCCCAGGAATGGGGATAGCTGTTAGTCCTTCCTTGATGGTCACCCACCCCACAGAGCTGATCCTGTGGGTGAGGTGAAGGTGAAACACTGGGGATGTTGGCTTAGGCTGATGTCTCTCAGAGCACAGCCCATGCTACCTTATCCCAGTGGTGCTGGCATCCATGCCATCTCAGCCACACCAGAATGCTGGAGACAGGGATGTCTTGTGCATCAAGAAGAACCTAAAATTCCAGCTCTCAACACAGAAACTATTCCTGGGACTGAGCAATATGGATACCCCAGTCACAGCCCCATCAATAAAGAATTGTGTTCCACAGCTTGCTGCTTTGGAGGGGGGTAACAGTCACTTCAGGTTTCAACAGAATCCTGATGAGTCCCTTCCGTCCAACTCAACATTTCTATGATCTCTGCGAGATCATGAATCTCTGAAGACCACAGCACATACCACCACCCCTGTGGGCAGCTGGAAGACTGCCACAGTCTTCCTGTCCCTGTAGCTGGCAGCTTGAAAAGGCTCAGATATTCTGCACACTGAGCCCAGAAAGGAAGGTGTAAGGTGACCTGAACAGCCAGGTACACAAACTCTTGGAAATTCAAACCACTAAGGTCACAGTCGTCACACTCCTTAGGCCCTGGAATCACAGCTGAAGTAGCATTGTAATGCACTTATAATTTATTCATCAGCTGAATGGAGAAGCAGGCATTGTGACAGCACTCTTTTATCAAGCCCTTGTGATGGACTTCATCCATTTTAAAAGAGCAAACTGGAGTTGAAAGGCAAAAAAAAAAAAAAAGAGCCAACTTTATTCAAATTAAAACAAACAGAAAAAAGGCCAAATCAAAATAGGGGAAAAGAATAAGCTCCACTAAAGAGCTGGTTTTCTCTACATTTTTCTTCTCCTTGCTCTGAATCTTCCAAACTTTGCATTACCCTGCTGGTGGCTACATTGATGTAGGAGGCTCCTGTTAACCCAGATGCTGCTGACTGATGCTCAAAAGCATCTTTTCATCCCTGTGATGAGTTCTGCCTGAGGATGAGCTTGCCCCATTTTTAGGTGAAAGGGAGCCAGAAGGAGAATTGTGGACAGACTTTTATTCTCAAAGATTGACAATTACTTCGCTTGAGTACTCTGATGCTCTGCTCCCCAGATAGAGGAACTTACGTAGGTGTCAATGTGAAGGTGAGGGCACTTGTACAACTGTTCTTTTGGGGTTTTTGTTTGTTGTTTTTTTTTGAGGTGAGACTCATCCCATGCACTAATAACGCATTGTTCACTTGGGCAGCAGACCAGATAATCACATTTTGATTTTCCTTACTAAATGCTCAGGGAGCTTTGTGGGGAAATCTTTCTTTGGCACCAGAGTTTTTGTGTCAGGGCTGAGATCCATCATGATGGTGCTTGTCTGTCATCTGGTCTGGGACTGAGGTATCTAGTGTAAATAAAAGAAGTAACCCCAGATTCCTCCATTACTGCCCCTCCAGGGCAGCAAAACTAGCCTGCAAACCCCAGGTGCTATTTCTCCTTGTTCCATAGGCAATGTTTGCTGCCACTGTGGGAATGATGGGCTGCCAACAGCTCTGTGGCCTCTGCTGGAGATTTGCACCCAACCAGGGCAATGGCACTTCAGGAAGGAGAGGAAATAATCTTGGCCCTTCTCTCTGTCTTCCATACCCCTACAATGGTCTTGGTAAGAAAAAACTGGGTAAAATTTGGGTGGTGGGGAGACCTATGAGGTCTCGAAGAGGAAGAGAAGCTGAGTCCAGAGCTGAACCACATTGACCTAGCAGCACATGAATTTCCACTTTGGGCAATCTGAAGGACAAATACAAAAGAACTGGTTGGACAAATATATCTTAAGCTCTTTAGGACCAACTTTGGGGCAGGACAGTGATGAAGTGGACCTGCAGGTGTCCAGCTCTGTTTCAATACAGCCCAAGGAACAGCTGCTTATTCCTTAAGCTACAAAGGGCTCCTGGTGGGGTAGCTGTAGGCTAAGCAGAACTCCTACTGCCTGCCTAATCTTCTTCATCACTTCACCATCTGACTTGCTGGGGGTTAGAAGGTGTTAAAGTCCAGCCCAGAGTCCCCAGGACCCCTGCTGATGTTTCACCAAAGCACAGGAGTAGGGAAGAGGCAGGAGGAGAGGAAAAGGTGTTGATGGTATTGGATTTTATCCCAGGGGAATCCAGTTCTCCTGCAGAAGGAACAGGTATCTCATCCTTTGAGCCACTCAGGAAAGAAATTAGATAAAGCAGTGAAAAGTATCACATGAGAGGAATCTGTCCTGAGAATGGAGTCACACAGGCACTCCCACATCTTCCCACCTCTTGTCCTCTCTCTCTGACAGCTCATGGAGCAGTAACCCTCTAGTGTGACACCAAGACAGGTTTGCATTTTCAAAGCTTCTGCTGTTGCTAAGCAGAGGAGTTAACTCTCAGTTTGTCATCCTTTGTGAACACAGCTCGCAGGAAGAAAGAAATAAATGAGGAAGAGAGATATTAAAAACAGCTGATAATAACAAAGCAAAGGACCTAGAAGTTTTCAAGTCAGATTTAACCGATTGTATTAGTGGCACCTTGGGGTCCAGTTTACAGTGACAAGTTCTGCTGCTGGAGACTGGATTAATGGTATGTGTAGCTTCCTCCTCTCCCAGTGAGTCTTGTCTTGCCTGGAGACCTATGTTCCCACATCAGACCCTATTTCTTGTTCTGTGAGCCCAAAGAACAAACTGATTCATTCAGGTGAAAATAAAAGAAAATATAAAAAGGGACAATACTGTTTGTGGCAGAGCACACCCCATGTAAAGTGCTGCTTGCAGGTGAGCTGTGACCACCCATGGGAGAGCAGCTGAAGGAGGAGGAGAAGAAGGCTTCATCCTTTCACGATGATATATCAGAGGTGATTGGAGGTGAGAAATGCCATATGAAAAATCAAAAAAGTTATCCTAGCCTCAGGGCAGCCTGGATTCAGGGGAACGGGACACCAGGCAGAGCAGCTGAACCTCCCTGAAAGCACAGGCAGAAATGCAGGCAGGAGCCTTGGAGGGGGCTGCCAGGCAGCACAGGCTTCAAAATGCCCTGTTGCTTCAACAGTTTCTATTTTCTTTGAGTGTTGAATGTTTTTGCAGGAAAGGGGAAAAAATCAGAGGGAAAAAAGACCAATACCTTTTCTGAAAGCAGACATGATGGAAAATTTGCAGTCTGCTCTCTTGAATACACCAGGGCTTGCTTTACTTTTTGCCTTGCATGATTACATCTTACATTAACATTCAAGACAGGCATCAGGCAGAGATAAATCCTGAATAACTCCAAACTTTTTTTCTTCCATCTCTTCCAGCATGAGGCAGGTTGAGACAAAGCCTGTGCTGGAGGCTGACTGCAAAAAAAGATGTTTTGAGGGCAGTACAGTACCAAAAGAGCTTGGCTCCTGTACATTTTTCTCCACGCATGAGCAAATCCATGTTTTACCAGCAAGCTGGGATGCCATATTAATAGACCAGGTCTTTGCTGGCTGGCATCAGCACAGAAGTCACAGCTTGAGTTATGTCTATCAACTAAGGAGAACTTAAGAAGCATGTGAAGATCCATTAATATGTCCTGCGGAGTGCAACAAAGGTGGTGAAAAGGCTGGATGAATGTCTTTTGATGAGGAGCTGAGGACTTTGGGCTTGTCTAGTTTGGAGAAAGGGGGTTTGAGGTAATGCTCTCTACAGATTCTTGAAGAGGGAAAGTGGAGAGGGAAGTACTCAGCTCTTCCAGGTATCCAGTGATAGGACACGTGGAATGGTTCAAAGACGAGCCAGGAGAGGTTTAGACTTGGCATCAGGAAGCGTTTCTTTGCAGAGTGGGTGGACAGAATAGGCAAGCTATTGAGGTGGCTAATGCCCCCAGCCTGTCAGTGTTTAAGGGACATTTGGATAATGCCCTGAACAACATTCTTGAACTTTTGGTCAGCCCTGAATTGGTCAGGCAGTTGAATTGGAGGATTGCTGTAGTCCCTTCCAACAGAAACAGAAACAGTCAATTCTTTTCTGTTCTATTCCACTGACATAAATAAAAAACATGGGATCGAACTTCCACCAGAAAACACACACAGCATGGTGCTGCCCGGCCTGCAAGCAGTTTCTCTGAAAAACAGTGTTTCGTGATCCAGCCCTCCAGCCCCCCATTGAGGAAGTGAGAGCTGAATTAAGCAGCTTTCAGTAAATCTGAGCTCAGTCCAAGGTGGTGAAGAGTGAGCCACAGCCACTGACCTGTTCCAGTGGCTGACCTGTCCCTGTAGGGGAGCACACACTTTATTTCAGCAATCAGTCAAGCTCCTGATGGATGAGGGATGTTTCTCCATATTACCCCAGTGGCACTGAGCAAGAACTCATCCCAGCTCCATGAGAAGATTGATGCCAGTCCCCACAGGGACATTGTCCAGGGTGAGATGGGATTTTGCAAGGGCTGGAGTATTTTATAGCTTGGAGGCAATCAGAAGCCCTGGTCCAGGTACCACCGACAGTGCTGGGGCACCTCTGGAGACGGTAATGGGGGCAACTCTGGGGAAAGCTCAAGAGGCAGGAGAAGGGCAAGCAGAGCAGTCTCAGGGACAAGGGGAAGGGTGCCTTGCATTTCACTGGAAAACAGCAAATTTTTTCTGGGAGCAGCTGGAGCTTGGGGAAAACTGCTGCTTCCTGCTCTCCTCCCTGGGTCAAGGTCTGCAGAGGGAGCCAGAGCCAAGGCTGCCAAGTGTCAGGGAGACACTTCAAGGTCCCTCTGCAGTTCAGGCTGCCCAGCTGCATGATCTCCCACCAACACACAGGGCCCTGGCTGTCAGTCCTGTGCCTTTGGGAAAGTCCATAGCTTTGGAAAGTACAGGAGATTGATCCAGTGGTCACCCATGTCTACAGGATTGTCATTGGGATGGGAAAGCCTGGGAGGTGATGGGGGCAAAGAAGAAGGTTGAAGCCATGTAATGACATAGGGATGAGGGGACACATCATCCAACCTGTTTTCCCAAGGAGCAGGTGCCCTGTGAGGTGGCCTGAGCCCTGCCATGAGCAGAAGGATGAAAGAAATGCCAAGCAGAAATGGGTCATCCTCTTCCTGGACAATTACTGTTATTTTTCTTTCTTTATTTTTTTAATGAATATTATTTATGTTATTCATTAAATACTCACTAAGGAACAGGTGCTGGCTCATGCTTACAGTTTGATAGATCTCTACACTTCTGCAAGCATTTTTCACCCTTAGCCAAGCCACGGAATGGCAGGAAGGCTGGAAATGGTATGTTCTGGTGTGACTACATCACACATCTGTGGAGAATGTGAGAACAACATGTTGGGGCGAGGGATGGCAGCTGTCTATTTGCGTCCTACTGCAGCTTGGGAGCTGCTTCAGGATTTCTATGGGGCCCTGAGTCATGTGAGTTCACTCCTCAAAAACCATGTTCTGTACAAAAACATCTGTCTTGTGACCACGGGTGCGTGTCAGTGGGCAAACCATGCGCTGCTGTACCCTCTCATGACCTGTGACTATCTGGACAGGCTGGTTGGATAGACCAATTGTGTGAGGTTCAATAAGGCCAAGTGCCAGGTCCTGTCCCTGGGTCACAACAGCTCCTGCAGCTCCAGGTTTGGGGTAGAATGGCTGGAAAGCTGCCCAGTGAGAAAGGACCTGGGACTGCTTGATAGGAGCTGAACGTGAGACAACAGCAGTTTGCCCAGGTGGACAAGAAGGCCAGTGGTATCGTGACTTGGATCAATAATAATAAAAGCAGCAGGATTAGGGAAATGATCCTTGCCCTGTACTTGGCACTGGTGAGGCACTTCAAGTGCTGTGTCCGGTTCTGGGCCCCCCAATCCAGGAAGGAGATTGACGTGCTGGAACAATTTCAGAGAAGGGCAATGGAACCGGTGAAAGGTCTGGGATCCATGTCCTGCGACGAGCAGCTGAGGGAGCTGGGGATGTTTAGCCTGGAGAAGGGGAAACCCAGGGGGTCTTTATCACTGTCTGCAGCTCCCTGACAGGAGGGTGTAGCTGCGGGTCAGTCTGTTTTCCCAGGCAGCCAGTGACAGGAGGAGGGCATATAGAATCACAGAATCACAGTTTAAGCTGAGTTGGCAGGGAACCACCAGCACCATGGAGTCCAACTCCTGGCCATACACAGGGCACCCCAAGAGTCACACCCTATGCCTGAGAACATTGTCCAAATGCTTCTTGAACTGTGTCTTTGCGGAGCCTGTTCCACTGCCCAACTACCCTCTGGTGAAAAACTTTTTCCTGATATCCAAACTAAACCTCCCCTGACACAGCTTGATGCCATCCTCTCAAGTCCTGTAACAGAAAAGAGATCAGTTTCTGCCTGTGCTCTGCCTCTCACGAGGAGCTGCAGTGAGGTCTCCCCTCAGACTCTTCTCCAGGCTGAACAGGCCAAGTGCCCGCAGCTGCTCCTCACACCGAGGAGCCACCCTCTAGAACCTTCAACATCCTTGAGGCCCTCCTGTGGACACTCGCTAATGGCTTAATGTCTCAAGCTGTCCCAGGGAAGGCACAAGGTGGATATTAGGAAGAATTTCTTCACAGAAAGGGTCATTATGCATTGGAATGGGCTGCCCAGGGGGGGTGATGGGGCCATTGTCTCTGGAGTTGTTTAAGGAAAGACTGGACGTGGCACTCAGTGGTGGTGTTGGGTCATAGGTTGGACTATGATGCTGTCACAGATCTTTTCCAAACGACTTGATGCTGTGATTTTGTGATCGCTGGCTACACCACAACCCTGCGTCTGGCTCCCATCCCCACTTCACCCCCTGACTCCTCCTCCCGGGCGGCCACAGCGCCGGCGAGCGCGGCCCCTTTAAAGGCACGCGGCGGGGGGCGTGGCGCGCGGCAGCGCGTGCGGCGGGGCGTGGCTCGGGGCGAGGCGGGGCGTGGCCTGGCTGTGCGCCGGAGCACGGCCGGGCGTGCGGGAGGGGCGTGGCCCGGGAGCGCGGGGGGCGTGGCTAACGGAGCGGCGGGGGCGGGGCCGGCGCGGCGCGCTGAGGTCAGCGCGAGCGGCGCCGTCACAAAAGGAAGTGGCGGCGGCGGGGCCGTCAGCGCGGGGAGGGGCGGGGGCGGCACCGGCACCACCGGCACCGGGACCACCGGGAGCGGCACCGGGAGCGAGGAGGCGGCCGCGGCGGGGGCCGCGCCGCGCCATGGCCCAGCAGCAGATGAGCAGCTCGCAGAAGGCGCTGATGCTGGAGCTGAAGTCGCTGCAGGAGGAGCCGGTCGAAGGCTTCCGCATCACCCTGGTCGACGAGTCCGACCTCTACAACTGGGAGGTGGCGATCTTCGGGCCCCCCAACACGCTCTACGAGGGCGGGTACTTCAAGGTACGGGCCTTTCCCCCGCGGCGCGGGCCGCGGTGTGGGGCTGGGCCGGGGCCGGGCCTGCGGGAGGGGGCACGGGCACGGCCTGGGCAGAGGGGGAGCCGCGCCACAGCCGCCGCTGCGCTGCCAATCTGCTCCTTTAGCCCCAAAGAGCCTCCTGCGGGAACCTCGGCCCGGCGTGAGAGTTCTCCCGCCCCGAGCTGCCCCCTGGGCTCTGCTCTGTGTGTATTTCACAGAATTGTTACGGTTGGAAGGGACCTCTGACGATCATCTAGTCCCGTATTTCCATATCCTTTTAGTACCTGACGGGAACTTAGAGGAAAGATGGGGCAGGACTATTTACGAGAGCGTTTAGGGACAGAACAAGGGGGAATGGGTTCAAACTCAAAGAGAGTAGGCTGAGCTTAGGTATTAGGGCGAAATTGTTCATTGTGAGGGTGTTTAGGCACTGGCACAGATTGCCCACAGAGGTTGTGGAAGCCCCATCCCTGGAAGTGCTCAACGCCAGGTTCGATGGGACTTGGAGCAACCTGGAATAGTGGAGGGTGTCCCTGCCCATAGCGGTGAGGTTGGAACTAGATCATCTTCAAGGTCCCTTCCAACCCAAACATTTTATGATTCTGTGATATTTATTTCAAAGTAAAGGCCTTCCAAGCCATCCCTTGATAGCTTCACTCATTGATGGCTAATTCAGGGTAAAGGCGATGTTTTCCTCAGGACTCTATGGGCTTCAGGGCTGTTTGGCACAATTTTTTTTCTACTCCTGTGTTCTTCCTCTCCACACTTTAAGAAGGCAGCCTTCAAAGGGCTGCAGCAGCACATAATGGGTGAAGGTAGATTCAATTCCTTTCTCAGCCTTCCTGTTAATACAAAAAAACTTTTGTGGTTGCTATTTCCACTCCTGTGAATACAGTAAATAAGAGATCTGGCACAGCCATCTCAGAAAAGAACTGAAGGGAGTGTACTTAAATTATCAAAACAACTGGAGGAGGAGTTGCACTTTTTTCTTAAAACAGGCAATCGGAAAACCTTTGTTCTTGCAGAAGATATGTGGCATAGGCACACTCCTCTGTGCTTGATATCTGCTTAATCTCTGGCAAAATATTGTCCCCATGAGCTTGCTTCTCCCAGCAGTTAACTGTTTTAGTTGTGGCTCCTGCATCTCCCATTTCATGCCCTTTGGCTTCTCTCAAACTGAAAAAAAAAAAAATTGGATGATGTCTTTGCTTGACTAACATGCACCTTCAGTGCCTCTTGGTCTGGTCAAGGTTTAAGAGCTTTGTTCCACAAAACCAAAATAACTTGTAGCTTGGGGAATAATAGATTTGAGTCATGTTCAGTTTGGCCTCATTGTTTGGAAGTAAAGGAAGGCTTTGGCATAAGACTTACCTTTTGTAATGAGTTGGCTGGCTTACTCACGTAGGTGTGATAGGTGTATTCTTAGACTCACCTCCATTATTACTTATTCAGGAAGTCGCTGGAGCCTTTAGTTGGTAACAGTGTCATCTTTACATCCAAATGGTCTGGTGACCTCTTCCTGCACTTACATTACTCATCCATTTTTTGTCAAAGAAATCATGACTGTTCGAAATAGTTTTGTATGGTTGGGGAGCTCTCTGGACTGCATATTTGCAGTTGTTCCTGGAAAGAAGCTGAAGCTGCCTGAGAAGTAATTTGGGATGTGTGTTAACAAGTGTAGATTTAGGCAAGGCTCCCAGTTGCCTTACCTCAGCACTATGATTGGGTTTTTGGGTATTTGATGTCCTTGAATGGCTGTGCCTTTCTTCTAAATTCTTTTGACCAGCCCTGTGATGGTAGTTTTGAGCGTGGGAAGATGAGGTCTCATGATGCTTGCACCCCTCCCCAGCAGTGGGATTCCCTTCAAGTGCTGTGGCTGAAATCTCTTGTGTGTTATTTCTGTCTCATCTTTCCTCCATGAGGAGCCCTGCATGGAGGATTTTTGTAGTGTCTGGTCTTTGGTTATGCATCTTCTGAGACTTCTGAGACACGGAAGAAAGAATCCTGTGAGAAGTGATATTCTCGGCTCTCTGTCTTAGGTCTTCACATGTGTTAGACTCTGCTTATGGAATCACTTGGAGATAAAAATAGTACCCTAACATTATTCGATGAGTGACTCCTGCAATATATTAATTGTACGTGCTCCTCTGATCTAGTGCCCACCTTGCATGTGTTTCATTTTCTGTATTTCTTAACTTGATGAAATATTTAGCTTCATCTTGTTTTGTGTTTTCAGTTTAGTAAGGTTAGGAAAGTGGGATTAGAAAGATGCACTTACAGGATGTAACTTTTTTCAACTTTGTGGCAGTGAGTTTGGGAATTGTGTTCCACTTGAAGTGTAGTTTAACAGCAGGAACTTGAGACAAAGTACACAGGCTTCTAGTTGAGCTAGAGCACAAATACTTCAAGGAAAACTTGTGGTTAAGGTGACTTCAATAAAGAAAGTGTTGGGATGTTGATTGAGGAATACTATTGCTTGATTTGTGTTTTGGGAGCTCTTAGAGGTGGTCACATCGACTTTTGGCACCTTGTTTATTCTTGGAGAGATACCTTTGTCTCTGGGTTGTTGGAGTAGTAGAATAAACTGAAATGAGGGAAGAGCTCTCTCTGCACCTCCTTGACAGAAGCTACTGTCTAAAGCTGGTTCAACAGATTCTGGTTTCAGCTGCAAGTCTGTAGCTCTAACATCTGATAAATTGAAGCAGAGAACACATCCCCTTGAATATTTGTTTAAATGATAGGTCGTCAACATGCTGGCTATAATAAAGTCAGGGAGTTCTTAAAAATTCAAGT